ATAGGCAGAGCTGTCCATCCATCCATCCATGGATTCCATGGATTCCATGGATTCCATGGATTCCATGGATTCCATCCATCCATCCATCCATCCATCCATCCATCCATCCCTGGACTATGGAAAATGAGCAGGACAAACAGCACCAAACACATCCTGAGAAGGACAGAGAGCACCGAAACATCTCCAAAACAGAACAAATGGCACCAGAACCCCTCCTGAGCAGGACAGAGAGCACCAAACATTTCCTGAGAAGAACAAGGAGCACCAAACTCCTCCTGAGGAGGCCAAAGATCTCAAAACACTTTCCGAGGAGGCCAAAGAACAACAAACCCCTCCAGAGCAGGCCAAAGAGCTCAAAACTCCTCCTGAGAAGAACAAGGAGCACCAAACACCTCCTGAGGAGGCCAAAGGGCACCAAACACCTCCTGAGAAGGTCAAAGAGCACCAGACACCTCCTCAGCAGGACAAAGGGCACCAAACCCCTCCTGAGCAGCAAACCCGTGCTGCGGTGCCAGCCAGGAGCGGGTGGCAGGGCAGGGCAGAGGGCAGAGCCCGTTCCCACGTCACGGATGTGGCACCTGGCAGCAGCACCGGGAGAAAAGACATGAGTCACGTCTGCTCCAAGGCAAGTCCTGGATCCCATTCACAGCTCTTCCAGCCAGGATGAGGTTAATGGATCTGCTCGGAGTAACCAGGGACTCGGCACAGCCACCTCCAGCTCCCTGACTTGGGAGCTCCCGAGTTTGGGGGCAGAAAATGCCCAGCAGCGCCAGGATCTGCTCTTGTTCTCTGGAAAATGGAGCAGCTCCATGGCATCCTCTGCCCCCACTGGGACACCCCAAGGCACTCCCAGTTCCAGCCCTGGAATTCCAGCCCTTGTTGTTTATTTATCCTTCTGCTCCTTCCCTTTGGGTGTTTGCTCAAGTCGAGTCTCCTCGTGCTGGGGATGAAGAATTTCCTTGGGGTTTTCCCTCAAAATTCCACATGAACCTGCCTGAGGCCACATTCCCAGGCCCACAGACCCCAACACCTATATAGTTAATTTATATATTTTATATATATTAATTATTAATCTTATATAATTTATATTTATGTAAGAGTTACATCTTTTTATATCTACATATATCACACATATATTCCTACAATATACACATATTCCCATGATAATTGTATAATTTATACTGATATAATTTATATTTAATATATTTAATATATTTAAATTAATATAATGAGATATATTTATATATATAATATATATTAATTTTTTTTCATCATATTAAATGTGATAACTATTATCTCATTGTGAACACACCGAAGTTCCCCCTCATTTCAGAAACTCACACTGCACGGGGGGTTACTGCTACCTCCTCACCCCCATATTTTATGTTTTGCTGTAAAAGTGAGTGAAATGGTAATTTTTATCCCAAAGTGGCACCTGGAGGCTCAGGACCGGCTCCAAGGGGGCTGTTCCCAGGAAAAGGAGCCCAGGAATGTGCTTTAAGCAGGGAATGGCTCTGTTCAATCTGGTTTAAGGGCTGTTCCCATGGGAATGATCCCGGTGTTGGTGCCACCTCCAGAGCAGGAACCATCCTGAAGGGATCCAACCGCTTTCCACAAGTGGAAAACAGGGAATTCCTCCCCAAATTCCACAGGAATTTTGCAAGGGAATGAGATTTAGGAGCTCATCCCAGAATCTGTGCCACGAGCTGGGCAGAGGGTTAAAAACCCATTTCCCCACTTGGAATTCCTTCTTCACAGATCCTTTGGAAAACCTGGGTGAGATCTTTCCTCCTCAGATTATTTTTCACCCTCCAAACTCATTCAGGAAGGATGAAAAAAAAAACACTTGGCAGAACATTCCTTGTGCCAGATCCCAAGGATTTGGATCCAAAATAATTTTGGACGCTTTAGGACCTGCTGGGAAGATGAAGGAGCTGAAGGAAAATACATTAACATCAACAACAACAAAAAAATCTCTATTTTAGCTTTTAAATTTGCAATATTTGTTGTAACTTCAGCCTCTCCATGGATTTTTCAGGAAGGCTGGCACAAGAGAGGGATGAGATGGAGAATCCATGGAAAAACAGGTTCATAAATCTTTTAAGGAGTTTGGAAGAAAGTAAATGAGCTGAGAATTAATAATTACTTGATTTTCAGCAAATAATCCCTCCCTTAGGAGAGGCTACATGAGGAAAAACCCACCAGAATCCCAAAATACCCTTGGAGCTTTAAGCCATGACCGATCTGGGTGGAAAAACCCCAAAATTTCCATCCAAAAACCCAACTTCAGCACGTTAAATTTGGGTTTAAGAGTCCTTTAACAGCTCTTTCCTAACCCACCCTGAGTTGAGACCACTGCACGATCCAGGAGCGCCACAAAACATCCAAAATTCCTACAAAATTTGGGGGAATCTCAAAACTGGAGGCAGCAGGAAGAGACATTTCCATTCCTGAGCCTCAGCAGGAGCCAGGGAACAGCAGAGAAACCACAAAACCAAGTTTGCAGAATTCCAAGATGGGAAATGGCAGGAAAAGCAGCAGGAGCCTGGCTTGGGTTGGGATGAAGACAAAAGAGAATGAGGCAACTGCTCCTCCAGCTCCAGGGGTTTGCAGCTCTGATAAAGATGCCACAAACCCTCCAAAATATTGGGAAAAAATCCTTTATGGAAAGGGATTCCAAGGAGGAAAGAGTGGATCTGCTGCTGGCTCAGTTTTGGGTCAGTGACCCACGAGATAAAATCCAGCAGTCAAGGGCTCCTCGACCCGGCACAGATGGAAACACCTTCAGATGGTGAGAGTTGGGATAATTAATTAACACCTCAGTCATTAATTACAGCACCTACAGAGCTGCTGGGTCATTGGGAACAGCACAGAACCATCAGGGCAGTCCCAGGGAAGAGGGAGATGGAACTGCTGGGAATTCTGAGATGCAATTGTGAGATGAGAACACCACAGGGAGACAATTCCAAGCTTTCCTGCCTGGACTGACACTGGGAGAAACCCTCGGGATGGGATGGGAGGATGAGCTGCAGGTTCTGTGTCCCAACAGGACACAGCAATTCCAGGACAGCTCAGAATTCCAAGGATCTCCAGCCAGGAGCAGCCCTCAGCTGGGAATGAGGTTTTTTTTTTTGGCAAAGAAGAAGCTGAAAGCTGAATTTGAAGATGTGAAAATTCGGCTTGAGAGGCAAAGCAAAGCATCCCCCACGTGTTTGCTTTGCTCCTCTGCCTCTGGCAGTTTTGGGAAACAGCTCCAAGAACGAACCCACAGCAAAGTGGAAAATGTTAATGCCCAAAAGGCTGTTTTCCTACCCAAACCCCAGCACAATTATGCCCCAAAACACACAATTATTAATGAACTACCACACAAAGGCCATTCCCACTACAAGAAAATTCATTTTTTTTGTTGGGTTTTTTTTTTAATTCAAAGAAAAAAATGTAATTTTAATAAATACTGCAGAAACATTAACCAAACATACAAAGTGACTTCAACAATTTAAAAAAAAAAACAAAAGTAATGAATGTCCTGCTTTATAACAGTTATAACTTATTTTTTCCACAATATTTAAATACAGAAAGAAGCACTTACCAGCTATTTTGTAATACTGCCCTAAGAGCACTGTTGCATCAGTTAAAAGCTTATTATGGTGGTCAAAAATGTCTTTTTTTTTTTCTCTCTTTTTTTTTTAATTTTTGTGGGAAATAACCAGAATGGGGAATGAGATTTGTCTTCTTTTCTCAGATGAAACAAAGTGCTGGGAACACACAGAACTGAGATTTAATTATGATTTCATCTTTACCTTTTGCACGAGTGAACAGAGCTTTTTAAACACTTCAAAAATGAAGCATCACCATTTGGGAATGAAATGCTTGTCCTCCACAAGCAAAAACCAGCCTGCTCAGAGCTTTGTCTCCTTCCTTTGGGAGAAGTTTGGTGGGTCAGGAAGAGTCACAAACCATTGGAAAAAAGGCTGATTTAATTCAGTGTAACAACAGCAAGAAAAAGGGATTGGACTGAAGCAGTTCACCCCATTTCAGGATTGGGGGCTGGATACTTTTGTGTTAATCCTAAAACTAAGGGCAGCATCCAGTTCCCACTGGGGACCCCTTTAAGGCCTCACAGTTCTTCAGAGCCCGTTCTCCTCCCCAAAATCAGGAGGGTGACAGAAGGCTCATTCGCAGCTTTTGGAGGGGTATTTTTGTTTTGTGGGTTTTTGTCAACCACACATCCCAGCAAAGCGTTTCCT